TGATAGGAAGTTGAAACAAAGCAGTAAGTCAGCTGTGAAAAGTGAAATGGAAGTGAAGGTCTTTTACCTAAGCAATCCTATAATGCCAAGAGTTTTGCATTGATTTAATTAGACTGATGCAGATGTTAGAATGTACAATTCTAATACAATTTAGCATGTTCAAAACTGAGATAAATCATAATGACATCCACTCTGTTTTACTCTGATGCTGAGATACACTTCAATTCAAAATTCTTTTATGGCTATGAAAATCTTACATTAAAAGAATCAGGTGCTTTTGCTGCATGCATAAGGAGATGAAGAAAGCACAGACTTAAATTTCAGTGATTATTCTGTTATCAGTAAGAACAATGCGGATGTAAGTAAAAGCCTCTTAAATGTAGGATATAGTGAAAATTCTCACTGGTCAGACACAGTTACTGAACATGGTTATGTGTCCTGCTCAGTATAAATAAAGAATGTGTCCTGCTCAGTATAAATAAAGAATAAACTCATTTCAACAATCCCTTTGGGCACATTTTTAAATGATTTTGTATATGGACTACTTAGCCTTAGTCTTGTTAAGACACCCCAATTTATGGTACAGTGTGGAATGCAGGGTCATGTACTGATAATGGGAAAACTTGTTGATTTCTCTAAGTTCAGTATTTAAGAGTTTTAGGTAAATTGCCATATGCGGAAAGATGCAAGATAATTGTTGCTTGTAGAAAGATGTGCTTCCCCCATTCGTAGTGCCTCTTGATTTTGATTTTTTGAGACAAAAATGACTGATCTCATTTTGATCAAGCTTAGGTTCTCAGAATAGTAGTGATTGAAAAGTCACACACTGCTTAAGTGTGTGACTCAGTTTTAATTCATAATTAATATTTCTAAGTCCCTGGTGCCCTATGACTACCAGCTCCATAAGAAACTGAGTGATTCACATGCAGCGATTCCATGCTGTGTACAGCCTGATAGCTGCAGCAGTAAGCCCCTTTTAAATTGATATATTCTGACATGCCTTCATAGCAGGCACAGCATAGCTTTTTTCTTGCCTACTGTCTTTCATAAAAGTAAGTCACAAGGTGTTTTGCCATTAGGGAATGGATTAAAACTGCTTCTCCAGTCAGCACTGAGCTTAAGTTACAGAAATGCCTAGAAACCTCTGCAAGTTGTTGCTGCTGCTTTGAATGTGTAGAACCAAAGTCCTTTGAGCATGCAGTAGTTGTTATTTGGTGATACTGTATCTGGCTCTAAGTATGTCTCATCACCAACATTAAAACTAACTACTAATCAAACTACAGATGTAAGCATTTTTCACTTGGCATAAAAAACTTATGGTTATGGGTAAATTGCTTAATTATATCCCATTTTTCAGAAGTGCCTAAGTAATCTAAGTCCTACTAAGGGGACTTAAGGGTTGGGACTTAAGCTCCTAAGTATCTTAGCCAACATTTTTAGAAGTCTGTAACATCCATGCATCCACTAATGTCTCTGGCAATTCCTGAAACCTGGTGCTGCTTAAGAGTACAGAATACTTACTACACGTGCAGTTAAAACAAAGACAAAAGTGAGATTGCAGGTCCAGGTATTTTTTTCCTTAGGAAAGGTTTCATTCAGTAGGCAGACAAAGCTGTACAGAGCAATCCGTATCAGTCTCCTTAGGGTAGATTACTTAGTGTAGTCCATTGCTTTTATGGAATGAAGAAAAGCAAAATAAGTTTAAAAACCTCCTTTTTTTTTAATTTTCCAGTCACCACTTTCACTAGTTTCACCAAATTCAGTCCACTGAGTTCAGCTCTATTCCATCTCTAATGTAAGGGTCGAAAACACACAGGTACCCCCAAAATACCAGGCAGTGGAAGGACTTAGGAGAATTTATTTTCAAAGTCAAGCACTTAACACATTGGTTCAAAACTGCACCAGGCCTAGGAAAAGATATTCCTGCGGTTCTCAGGGCTTTTATCATTCATGGTCCTCCCAGCCTTCAAACATGTCCATAAGAACTTATTTTTTCTCATGCCAGGGAGAGCTTCTCTGGAATGCAGGAAGAGAAAACATATAAAACTGTTTCTGGCCAAAGACAAAAGTTTTCTTAAGCAAAAGCCCCTAATCTCATAGTAAATTCTTCCGGAAGGGTCTTCTACACTTACACCTACTATAAAATCCTGTCTTCTGTGCAACTGATCTGTCTCTTGCGTAGTATTTGGTCTGTCTTAATGCTATGTGTTTCATATGTGACTAAGCATATTTCACTCTGTATTCAGTATATTGGGTCTGATTTCTAGATTTCTGATTTCTAGATTTCTTTGTGTCATGACTTCAGAGAGGAGTACTGCACAAATTTATTTAGTTGTACTTTTAAATTGATTGAAATTTCATTCCTACACAGGTTCCAGATTTCACTATTACAGACCTGTCTTCAGAGTCAGATGATATCCCAGACATTTTGGATTTGGATGAAGAGGATCAACAAGACTTTTCACGCACAAATGGCCCTTACACTACAGGGCAAAGAGCTGAATAGAGAAGCATAAAAATGTAT